AGGGAAAGAATTGAAAATTTAGACAAGAATAGGTAAATATATAGACATTAATTGTTATTAGTAGTTAACGGGTGGGGGAGAGGGAGAGAGGGAATCATTCTCTGGAAAATAGTGAGGTTTTGTCTATGGTGATGGAAAAATTGACTTTGATTAAGGACAATGGTTCCACAATTTGACGGATGTAACTGGTATTACTAAATGGTATACCAAAAAAAGGGTGAAATGGCAAATGTTGTGTTACAAATAATTTTACAGCAACAATAGAAACAACAAAACCTAAAATGGGGGGTGGGCGCTGCAGCTGTTGATACTACTTAGGTACAATCAAACCTTTATGGGATTAGTTTTCTTGGTTCGTGGCTTAGGGTCATGGTTTTGTGGGACAATCTAGTCATTCGGCCTAATATAGTTCTTAGTGTTTCTGGTCTACCTCCTAGTTCTGTGAGTAGTGTCTGGGGTCTTAAAAGCCCATTCAAAACACAATTGGTCTCTATGCACCTGGAGCAGCAGTGAAAGAAGGAGACCCAGGAATTAGAGAAGGAACTGGACTGCAGATCTAATTACCTCTGAAAAACTACCTCCTTTGCCATGAGACCAGAGGAAACGGATGGTGGCTAGCTACTATTACCAAATATTTTTATCAAAGATTCTATAGAAGAATCAAAAGGGGGGAAATGTAGAACAGAATTTCAAATTCTCATGGATTCCAGACTTTCTGGACACAGGAAGGCTGGATGAACCCCTGAAACTATTGTCCTGAGATAATCTTTAAACATTAAACCAAAAATATCCCCTAAAGTCTTCTTAAAACCAAACAATAGTTCAGTAAAAAATGTCTACCTTGAGCACTATGCTCTTTTAAGAACGATCTATATGGGATCAAAGTGCCTTGAATCTATAAATTAATTTGAGAATTGACATCTTTACAATATTGGATCTTCTACTCTAAGTTCAGGGTAATAGCCTTCCATTTACCTAGAGTTTCTTTAATTTCTCTCAGGAATATTTTATAGCTTGCTGCATAAAAGTTTTAGACATCTTTTGATAGATTTATTCCTAGGCATTTGCTATTCTTATGCTATTTTACACAGTACTTTCATGTTTTTTATTCTGTATTTGAAATACAATTGATTTTTGTATATTTACTTTATAGCCAGCAATCTTTCCTAACTCACTTATTCTAATGCTTAATCTGTAGTTTCTTTAGGATTTTATACATATATAATCATATCATCTGTGAAAATGACAGCTTCATGTTTTCCTTTTCAAAGCTTAGGCATTTTATTTCTTTTCCTTGCCTGACTGAAATTGCCAGTAGAAGTGTTAAGTAGAAATTATACGAATAGACATTCTGGTTTTAGTCTTGATTTCAAAGAGAAAGCTTTCATTCAACATTCCACTACTGTTAAGACTTCTGTAGGTATATATATATATATATATATATATACACTCTTTATCAGAGTAAGGAAGTTTCCTAGGGTTTCCTAGGATAAGTTTGCTGAGACGTCTTATGAATGGATGTTGAATTTTTACCAATTGATATGTCATTTAATTGTTATGTTTACTGGTAATACTGTCCCTATATTGATTGATATGATCATAAAATTTTTCTCCTTTATTCTGTTAATATGGTCATTTACACTGATTGATTTTTCAAAAAATAACTTGCATTCCTGGAATAAGCCCAACTTGGTAATGGTTTATTATCTTTTTTAGTTATTGCTGGATTCAATTTGATAATCTTTTGTTTGGGATTTTTGCATATCTGTTCATAAAAGATATTGTCTGATAATTTTCCTTTGTCGTGGTGTCCTTGTTGATTTTTGCTTTCAAAGCATACAGGCCTCAAGAAAATAGTTGGGGAATATTCCTTCATTTTCTATTACCTGGAAGATTATGTGTAAGATTGGTGTTATTACTTCTTAAATATTTGGTAGAATTCACTGGTAAAGCTGTCTGAGAAGGATATTCTTATAAATTTCCCTGGGAAGAGAATGGGAACCTTGAGAATATTGCATTGTCAAGAATTCCTGAGGGGTGGAAAAGAGAGACAGAGGTGGTGTCGTGTGACATTTCAAATGGCCTGGCATTTTCCTAAAAGGACTCTGCCCTTAGTTCCCACCTACCTCGCCATTTTCCCCCTTCACCCAGCAGGCCTGGAGGTATCCGGCATAAGGAGCATCAGCTCTGAGGCTGCCTGGTCACATCCTCCTGATGATCCAGATCCGTGTTCAGAGGAGAAGGCCCTGGTGCAGGGCACAGGGTATTGAGGGTGCAGAGGGGAATGAGAGGCCAAGGAGGGGCTGCTTCAAGCAGACAGAGGCTTTTTGTTTAGAGGCTCTTTGTTTGCTCTGCTTCTTTGTAAGTTGGGCAATATTTGGAAACAAATATTGGTTCAGAGGGCCACTGCCTTCCTGCCCACCCCCTTTTGGCTAGTTTCCCCAGCCCCCCTGCACGTACACACAAGTTCAGCTCTTTCTACAAGAGGCCAACCCTGTGGCTAAAATTTAAGTTTCATTCTGTTTGTGGTGGAAGACGCTCAAGGAGATGGATTGACACAGTGGCTGCAACAATGGGCTCAAACAGCAACGATTGTGAGGATGATGCAGGACGGGGCAGTGTTTCGTTCTGCTGTACGTAGGGTCACTATGAATCGGAACTGACTTGACAGCACCTTATAACAACAACATGGTGGAAGATTTGGGTCATGACTTGGGTTTGTCTGGAACTGGAAGCGCTCTTCACTTCTCTCTCTCTCACTCTCTCTGTCCTCCTTCCTCCCACCCTCCTTCCTCTCCTCTTCTGAATAAATAAAGAGTAGATTGTTATCAAGGAGGCAGCTGTGGTCTAGAGAAGACTGGAACCCAGGAGATTTGAGTTCAGGTCCCAGAGCTCTGTGAAAGAGGACCCATTGTTTTACTGTGGTGTCCGCATCTGAAAGATGGAGGCACTGATCGTATCTTGTAGTGTTGCTTGTCAAGATCACATGCTGTGCTTTGGAAGAAAGCCTCAGAACAGTGCCTGAACATGGAAGGGGCTAAAAGCATGCTACTTTCCTTCTAGCTAGGTTTAATAAAGCCAGTCCATGCCTGAGGACACTCAGACCGCTTAGACCAGTTCCTCTGCACAAGGAAACCCCTGGGCTGAGTGACTATGGAGAAATGGCAGTGCTGGGATTGCTGGGTCTGCTTCTCTCTCAATGTGACCCCAGATCAGCCCCTTAGCCTGTGTGTGTAAAGGTTTACTAGGAGGGGCAGTGTCCCTTGGTAGATAGGTATGCACAATGTAGAACCATATTCTGAATCACTAGCTCACCTTTTAATCTTTCTGGGCCTCAGTTTCCTCATCTCGTCTGTAAAATAGGGATAATAATGCATCTACCTTAAAGGGCTGTGGTAAGCACTAAGTAAAACTGTGACAGCAAGTCAGTGCTAGCCATCATTAGCTGTAAAATAGAGATGATGTTTCCTGACTCCAGTGTCTCAGGTCTAGAATTAAGCACTGTAAAATGAAAGCACTGCTACAGGTGTCACAGGCCACCTAGGAAATGAAGCATTGTGTTGTTACCTCAAACTGAACAAAAAATAAAATGGCAGAAAGGACACTTGTCCTAGGCCCATCGTCAGCTAAAATATGAGGTAGAATCAATGACCATCTAGTCAGATTGGATAATAAGTAATTTTTGAAAAGCCCTAAAATTATCATGACTATTTGAAATATGGATTTACACCACCCACCAGGAACCCTCCCTTTCCCTGAGTGTACATTGTGCTTGAGATATTAATTTATGGCCTATCAGGCATCATAAGCAAAAGGACATTTAAATACCAGTCTATTTCATCTTTAGCTCATCCTTTTAATAATTTCTATTCCTTGTGCATGATTGAAATGTACACAATATATTAGTAAACAACAAAACACAACATAACAGAAGGCACAAGCTCAATATTTTTACTGACAAGGAAGTGCAATCAAATCGGTTTGGAGATCACTTGGCTGGAGGGGAGACAGGGATGACCAGGGGGTTGAGAACAGGCCACATCCTCCCCTGGTTCCTTCGTTGTGCTTACCTGGCACTTCGTTCTGAGTCTGTGTCTTGACACATTCCTCAGGGAACTCTTAGCTTCTTGTGGGAGGGAATTGTCTCTCCTGCGGCTCTTCCCGTAGCAAAGTGTCTGACACAGGCCTGTGGACAAGGAACGTTTCTAGGCCAAGGAGCCTTAGCTCAGGGGGTGCAAGGAGAGGGAGCTGCCCCTCATGACCGTTAAGAGTGGAGGAGCAGAATTTCCCAATGCCCAGGGAGGAGTGAAAGGTGTTGGGCCTGACATCCTTGACCTTGAACCCAGCTTTATTCTCCTCCCACATCTTCTCCTTGAAGGTCATTTTCAGGTCGGAATCAACTTGATGGCAAGGGGTTTGGTTTTTTTTTTGTTTTGGTGGGAGCCTGTGGTGCAGTGGTTAAGCGTTTGGCTGCTAAGCAAAAGGTCTGGCAGTTTGAATCCACCCCCTGCTCCTTGGAAACCCTATGGGGCAGTTCTACTCTGTCCGATAGGGTCTGATGGGTCATAATCGACCCAACAGCAACGGGTTTTATTTATTTATTTACTTATTTTGGTTAGTCCTCCCTGAGATCTGGGGCAATTAACTTTCCTCTCCGGTTCTCAGGGTCTCCATACGTGGAATGAGAGAAAGACTAGCTCTGGCATGCCGGGGACTCAGGAGCAAAGCAGCTGCTGCCGGCAGCTCGCTTTAGCCACATTTCTGGCACAGAGCAAACGCGCAGTCTCAAGGGGTTGATCTGATTTGTTTTGATTTGATTTTCCTTCCAGTCAGCATTTTTGATGGATCCCATCTGCGGGGCTGTCCCAGGGCTCAGGAAATGAGATGACCAGCGGGGGTGAGGAAGGAAGTGCGAGGGGGGTAGGAGCGATTGGGTAACCAGGCGGCGCGCAAACAAGGCGAGGTCAAAGAGTGTGCTCAGCCGGAGCCCCGACCAGATATAAAGAGGCGCGGGCGCGCAGGGGAGGCAGCACAGAAGCGGGGTCCATCTGTGCTCGCTGCTCAGCGTCGAAGACCCAGGAGGATGAGGCTCACCGTCAGCGCCCTGCTGGCCTGCGGGATCCTGGGTGAGTTGGGCAAAGGCCCGCAGACTTGCTGGCCCTTGGGCGCCCCTTGCTCATCCGCAGCTTGCGGGGCGCCCCTGTACCGGATCAGTGCTCTGCGTTGTGGCTGGAAGCCGGGTGCTTTTCATTCGTCCCTCGCCGCCACACCTCCACTCAGTCTTCTTTATCCGCACCTCGCAATACTGCTCTGAACTGCTGTACCCGTGAGCGCCGTTGTGAGCTCCACCTTGAGTCTCTTTACACCTTTTCACTGCTCTCTCCTCCTCCTCCTCCTCATTCTTGCCTCCTCCTCATCCTCCTCCATGTCCAATAAATCTTGCAGCGGTACAATGCAACAAATGAGAACAATTCTAATCACAGTTTATCAAATCCCTTCCAGCTGCCTCCGCAGTAAAGTCCACAGTCCTTAGCTTGGCATTCAAAGCCTCACTGATCTGACTCTACCTCCCGTGGCAGTCTGATCTCCCGTGGGTGCCCTTGGCACAGATGATGCCTCACTGAGGAAACAAGTGCAGCCAGGTGGTTCAGAGCATGGGATTTGAAGTCAGACTTCTTGGGTCCAAATCCTGAATCCACCACTTGCTGTGTCCCACAGGGTTGGGGCTTCTTTGTTCCTCCAGCCCCCACGAGTGAGAGGGATAATAATAGCACTCACCTGGGGTGGGGGTGGGGGTGGGTCAGGTGCGGGGTCAATGAGATCCTGGATGCCAGGCACTAGGGGAGTGTGCTGCACACACGTGCTGTGGGACTGGCACTGGAAGGCCTCTCCCGCCACCACCGCCTCCTGACATGGTCTCGTTCCCTTTTTCCTCTAACTTCTCCCTGCCACCGGGTGCATTTTTCACACGTTTGGAGCCTTCTGTGTTTAGTGATTTGCCTGATGAACTGTAAACTCCTTGAGAGATGGCCCCGCTTATTTGCCTTTGACCCCCTCAAGGTACCTCACAGGGCTGCTCAAAGGAAGTGCGTGACCAAGAGACAAATTCCTGCTGATGGACCTGGGAGGGGTGGTGTTTCTGAGGGTCTGCCACTGATTCAGGATGCCTCCTCTGATTTTCCATGGGACGAGGCCGGGTAAAGGGGGTTGGGGCAGTCAGTCCCCTGTGGGTCCCTCTTGTTCGCTCCTGGAGAACTCTTGGTCTCCCCCTTGCCCGCTTTGTGCTTTGTGGCTTTTTATCAGATTCCCTGAGTCAGCCCTGCTGTGAATGGGTTGCCTCACAGAGAGTGGAGATGACAGAGGGCTATGGGGACAGCACCAGTGCTCATGTGATAGGGAATAAATACATCTGCAACCACATGGATTTTAATAGCTATAGACATGGCTGGCTTTAGCCTTTTCTCTAAAGGGCAGCCAAAATGACTGGTGAAAACTGAGGGAGAGGTGGGTGGAAACGGAGAGAAGACCTTTGAGTATAGGAGTTGCTACTTATTCCTGGAACAGAAGATGACAGAGGATGGTCATAGGCAAATTCATGATCTTTCCAATCATTTATCCCCAACTAGGAGCCCTGGTGGCAGAGTGATTAAGAGCTCAGCAGCTAACCAAAAGGTCAGCTGTTTGAATCCACCAACTGCTCCTTGGAAACCCTATGGGGCATTTCTACTCTGTCCTATAGGGTTGCTATAAATCAGAATCTACTTGATGGTAACAGGTTTACTGACCAGGGATCCCTGGTGACACAGTGGTTAAAGTGCTCAGCTGCTAACCAAAGGGTTGGACGTTCGAACCCACCAGCCTCTCTGTGGGAGAAATTCCATAAAGAGTTACAGCATTAGAAACCCTATGGGGCAGTTCTACTCTGTTCTGTAGGGTTGCTGTGAGTCAGAATTGACCCAATGGCAATGGGTTTTACTGACCAGGGAAGAAAGTAACTTGGAATGTTATCTTCTTTTGTCCCTTGAGGATATCCTAGTGAACAAAGCAGCAGACCTCAAGTCTGGAGACCTGGTTTCTAGGCCTGGCTTGGCCACTAACAATCTGGGTGACCTTGGGTAAAGCATCAACTTCCCTGACCCCAGTTCCTACCCTGCTGGCTTCCTACCATTGTGGGATAGAGCCAATGAGTTGAGGCGCTGGAAATGCTGCATGCACGCCGAGGCTTACGTTCCATGACAGGCCAGGGGTATGATGGTGATGGGAGGAGGCAAGGAGAATCCAGAGGACCAGATTGTTGTCTGCAATTGAGAGCTGATGGTCAAGCCAGCATCCCTCCGGTCATCACAGGGTGGTCAGCTGGAAACTAGGAGGCCAATAGGGTGCCTTCCTCATGGGCCAGCCTGGGAATGCAGTGGAACTTGTGCCCTGCAGTGTTTGTGTATTGGGAGTGGGAGGAGGATGGGACAGAGGGGATGTGGCATCCTGGCAGGACCCTTCAGAGGGTGGTGCTGTCTTTCCCACCGGCACGGGGCATGGGTCCCTTATACCTCTGGCTTCTCTCTCCTAGGGCTGTGTCTGGCTTCCTCTGACAAAACTGTGAGATGGTGCACCACGTCAAAACTGGAGCATGACAAATGCAATGATATGAGAAATGTGCTTCCAGTCTTGTGTGTGAAGACAAATTCCTACTATGATTGCATCCAGGCCATTGTAGTAAGTAACTGCTGCCTAAAGGAAAGTGGAAGAAAATCCATAGTTTCTCTTTCTTCTTCACCTATCATTTTGGAACAATTCATTGCTCACTGGTAGGGGACTGATGTGTGGGGCTGTCAAACTCAATGCTAATAAAATCACTTCAAAAATAGAAATAGGAGAGATCTTTAATAAGTCTTACAGCAAAAGTCGACATAGTCTATGAGTTGAAATCGACTTGATGGCACTGGGTAATGAGTATGTTCTCCAAATTGAGGGGGAGAAAGCCCGAGCATATCTGCTATCAAAGTTATCATATAACATTACTTTGGAAGTTCTTGATACATCTTAGGAAAGTAGGATGGCGCAGGGAAGAAGAAGACCAAAGTGTCTAGTTGCAGGTGATGGCTAAGCCCTTTGTTTTCTAGGTTAATCAAAATACAATTCACTCACCCAACGTATCTGAACATGTGTCAGACTGTGCTAGGCAATGGGTCTGCAGTGGTGAATTTAAACATGCATGGTCCTTACACTCAAAGAGCATACAGTCTAGTCAAGAGAGAAGAAAAACACGCAAACATCTAATTTTAAATTGTGTGATGTACAATGAAGGGAAACAGTGGGGTGCTCTGACAGAGACTCACAGAGGGAACCTTTCTTGCCTAGATGGTCAGGGATAGGCTCTCTGAGAGGGCAGCAATTATGCTGAGACCAAGGCATGAGCATGGTTAGGCTCTGCAAAGAGCTACAGGGTAGAGTACTCCAGGCAGTAACCAACACCAAATGCAAGGGGACTGAGGCCAGGGAGAAACAAACTTATTTGTGGGGCTAGAGGCAAGCCAGGGCTATGGGAGCAAAATGAGCAAGAGACTGGCAGGAGGTAAGATGGGGAAGTAAACACAGCCAGATGGAACCGGTTTTACCTCAAGGAATCAATGCTTTGGTATAAAGAACTGGTCTGGAATGTTGTGTGTGTATGTTTTAATTGGACATCAATGCCTATTACAGCTTAATTATAACCCTTGATTCATTAAACACTTTCAACTTTGGTCCATGTATGCCACTCTCTTAATGTTCAATTTATGTTAGTATAAAATAATATTATCCATGAACTTACTGCCAAAACTTGATCATTGTCAATAGCTTACATCCAGGAATACTATGTGGCAGCATTGCATTCTACGTGAATGGCACCCCTTGGGGTAGTGTAACCCGTTAGTGATTCCAACTCACAGTGACCCTGTAGGACAGAGTAGAACTGCCCCATAGGGTTTCCAAGGCTGTAATCTTTACAGAAGCAGACTGCCACATCTTTCTCCCGCGGAGTGGCTGGTGGGTTCTAACCACCAACCTATTGGTTGTCAGCTGAGCATTTTAACCACTGTGCCACCGGGGCTCCTCTCCAAGACATGTATAATCAAACCCAAACCAAACTCACTGCTGTTGAGTCGGTTCCACTCATAGCGACCCTATAGGACAGAGTAGAGCTGTCCCACAGGGTATCCAAGGAGTGGCTGGTGGATTCAAACTGCTGACTTCTTGGTTAGCAGCCGAGCTTTTAACCACTGCACCACCACGCCTCCTAGGTATGCCTAAATGATTGTATAGTTAAAAAAAATTTTTTTATAAATGTGGCATATTACTATGTGTAGTCTTCTGAGACACGATTTTTCTCCTTGGTGTTATGCCACTAAGATTCACCCATATAACTGAATATAGCTATCATTCATTGGTGGTGCAATGGTTAGGAGCTCAGCAGCTAACCAAAAGGTTAGCAGTTCAAATCCACCAGACCCTCCTTGGAAACCCTACAGGGCAGTTCTACTCTGTCCTTTAGGGTGGCTATGAGTTGGAATCGACTTGATGGCAATGGGTTTTTTGGTGTTATTCATTGGAGCCCTGGTGGCACAGTGATCAAGAGCTCGGCTCCTATAAGGTCACTATGAGTCAGAAGGGACTTGATGGCAAAGGGTTTGGTTTTTTGGTTTTATTGTTCATTACTTCCCACAGCTATACAGTAATCCATTATGTTAATATACCACAATGTATTTATTCATTTTCTGGTCAGTGCCCATTTCGATGGCTTTTAGCTTTTTGCTTTTATAAGTGGGTCTGCATTTAATATTCTTATACAAATCTCCTGGGGCACAAATATTAAGAGATTTTGTTGGGTATATATGTAGAAGCAGACTTGCTGTGCGACAGGGTATGTGAGTATTTGACTTTTAAGACAATGCCAAATTGTTTTTCAAAGTGGTTGCTCCAATTTCCACTCTCATCAGTAGTTTGTGAGAGGTTAATCCATGTCGTTCTATGTGCATTGGGTATTTTGTCATTTTGAAATTGTCCTTTCTATCTCCGGCAGTGCTTTTTGCCTTACACTCTATTATGTCTGATATTGACATACTACACTGGCATTTTTTTTTTTTCCCCTCCTATATCTTTTTCTGTCCCTTTATTTTCAGTCTCTGTGTTTGTATGCTTTAGGTGTGTCTTTTGAAAACAGCATATTGCTGGATTTTATTTATTCAAGCAATCTCATTTATTTCATTTAGTTCCTTAATGTTTATTGTGATAATTCATAAATTTGTATTTGTTTCTACCATATCACTTTATTTCCTAGTCCTGATATTCCCATGTTTCTGGTTTTTTTTTTTTTTTTTTTGCTCCTTTCTTGCCATTTTAAACTGAGTGTACGTGTGTGAATTTGTATTTTTCTCCTTTATTCTGCTTTTCTTCTCCCTATTTGTTTTGGAATTAAACACTGTATATTCTTTAATGGTTTTCCTTAAATATTTACTATATATATTTAGCTTTACAGAGTCTTAAAGTAAAATATTCCTGTCCCCCTTTCCAAACAATAAAAGGGCTTTGGAATACAATATCTCAGACCTCCCCCTTCCCTGTTTAGAAATTATTATCATCCAGTATTTTATTTCTATCTTTTCTTATCCCCACAATGTAGCTACCTTATACATATCTTTATATATATGTAGACGTGTGTGTTGAGAGAGAGAGGAAAAGAGAAAGAGAATGAACTTTTGTTTGATTTTCTGACATATTTGTAGCTTTCTCTGTTCACCATTCCTTTCTATATCTCAAATTATCCTTCTGGGATAATTTTTCTCCCGAAATACATTCTTTAGTTGACCCTTTAGAGTCAATCTCTTGGTGTTAAACTCCCCCAGTTGTATTTTTTCCTTTGTAACTGCATTTTCTTCCCCTTATTCTTGAATGGGTGGCATAAACATTAAGCGCTTGACTATTAACTGAAAGGTTGGTGGTTTGAACCCACCCAGAGGTGCCAGGGAAGAAAGTCCTGATGATCTGCTTTAGAAAGATCACAGTCATGAAAACTTTATGAAGTGCAGTTCTACTCTGCAACACATGGGGACACCATGAGTTGGAAACAACTTGATGGCAGCTGGGTTGGTTTCCTTTTATTCCTGAATAATATTTTTTACTATATATGCAATTCTGAGTTGAAAGTTATGATCACATGACTTCAAAATATTATTCCACTGTCTTCTGGCTTCCACTGTGGTTGAGAAGCCTGGTGTTTGTCAGTCATTCCTTTTATCTTTTCCTTCTGTCTGGCTGATTTTGCAATCTTATTGCCTTGGTCTAAAATGTTCTACAGATTCACTGTGATCGACCCAGGTGTGGAAATCTTTGTATTTATCCTGCTTAGGATATATTGTTTTCTGGATCTGTGGATTCATGTTTTTCACCAGTTCTGGAAAATTTGCAGCCATTTTTTCTTTAAATACTGTGTCTTCTCCATTGTCTCCATTTTCTTATTCTAGGGTTCTAAAAAAATAGATGTTAGCCTTTTTTAGTCTCTTCTCCATATCTTTTAGCCTGTCTTTCATAATTCCCGTCTCTGCACTCTTTTTGACAGCATTCTGGATAAATTCTTTAGATTTACCCTCCAGTTTACCAATTCTCACATTCTGTCTAATCTGCTGTGTAACACATCCAATGACTTAAAAAATTTATTTTGTTGTTGTTGTTGGGAATATACAGAGGTAAACATAAACCAATTCAACAGTTTCTACATGTATAATTCAGTGACGTTGATTACGTTCTTCAAGTTGTGCAACTATTCTCCTCTTCCTTTTCAGAGTTGTTCTTCCCGCATTAACATACTCACTGCCCCCTAAGATTCCTGTCTAAGCTTTCAAGTTGCTGTTGTCACTTTAATCCCATATAGATAGTTCTTAAAAGAGCATAATGTTCAAGGTGGACTTTTTTTTTACTATTAAGCTACTATTGTTTGGTTTTAAGAAGACTTCAGTGGATATTTTTGGTTTAAGGTTTAAAGATTTTCTTAGGGCAATAGTTTCAGGGGTTCGTCTAGCCTCCATGTGTACAAAAAGTCTGGAATCCATTAGAATTTGAAATTTTGTTCTGCATTTCTCCCCTTTTGATCAGGATTCTTCTATAGAATCTTTGATCAAAATGTTTGGTAATGGTAGCCAGGCACCATCTAGTTCTTCTGGTCTGATAGCAAAGGAGACAGTTTTTCATGGAAGCAATTAGCCTCCTCCTAGCCCCGGTGGCATAGTTGGTTATGCATTCGGCTGCTAGCTGAAAGATCAGTAGTTTGAATCCACCAACCACTCCTTGGAAACCCTATGGGGCTGTTCTACTCTGTCCTATAGGGTTGCTATGAGTCAGAATCGACTCGACGGCAACTTTTTTTTTTTTTTTTGGTATTCTTGACTCTTCTTCCTCTGTTGCTTCGGGTGAATAGAGACCAATTATTGTACCTTGGATAGCTGTTTGCAAGCTTTTAAGGCCCCAGGCACTACACAATGAACTAGGAGGTAGAACAGAAGCACTAAACATGTTATTAGGCCAATTAACTGGGATGTCCCATGAAGTCATGACTCTATACCTCCAAACCAAGGAACCAAATCTCATGAGGCTTTTGATTGTACATAAACAGTGTCAGCAGCTACTCTTTTTTTTTTTTTTATTGGTCTTTTTTGTAGGTATATCTATCACACAACTTTTGCCAATTCCTTTTTACAGGTGTACAACTTATTGATGGCTATGCAACCCTACCCTTAATCAACGTGATTTTTCCATCACTGTTAACCCACCCTTTCCCTCTCCCTCCTGCCTCAGGTAACCACTAATAAACTTTGATCTGTATACTTTTGCCTTTTCTTGTCTTTTTCTACAAGTGAGGTCATACGATATTTGTCTTTTTGTGATTAACTTATTTCAGTCAGCATAATGTCTTCAAGCTCCACGCATATTGTAGCGTACATCAGACTTTGTTTCTTCTACTGGCTGAGTAGTATTCCATTGTATGTATGTACCATATTTTGTTTATCTATTCATCTGTTGATGGGCATTTAGGTTGTTTCCACCTTTTGGCTGTTGTGAATAGTGCTTCAATGAACATTGGTTTACAAGTCTCTGCTTTCAAGTCTTCTGGGGCATCTATTGACTTTTGATTTCAGCAGCTATAATTTTCATTTCCAGAAATTCCATTTTTAAAAGTTTTTCTTTTTATTTCTGATAATTTAGTGTTCTATGCTTATCTCTGAAATTACCGCCTTCATTTCATACATGACACTGAACATTTCATACATAGCTGTTCTCTATTGCGTCTGACAGTTCCAGCCTCCAAAATCCTTGAGGGCCCAGATCTGTTGCTTAGTTGATGCCCACTCGTTGTGACTTACCTTCTTTTGGGTTTGGTTATGTTCATCTAGGAGACTGAGCTTGGTTTTAATCTTCCCCCTCACTACTCATTGAGGTTCCCCTTTGAATTCCTTTTTCTCCAGCCCTGGATCTCATGTTTTAGGCCTTGGCTACTTAGCTTCCTGAGCCCCTCAGGCCTCAGGGTATTCCCGCTTACGCTTATGGTGTCTTGGGCCAGACACCCTAGGCTCTTAACCACTCTCCCTAGCCTCACTGTTATGGGCAAAGCTCTTGTCTGTTTATTTTTATTTTGTGGGGTGTGTGTGTGTGTGTGTGTGTGTGTGTGTGTCTATGTAGAGTCTCTGAAGGTTTCTCCTACCTTTTGTGAGAGCAGCAAAGCCACAAAGATAGTATCCTCTCCAGGATTAGTTGTTATAGAGTGGAAGGGTCCTTCATATCTCCTAGTTGTTCATAATACTGAAAGTAGATGTATCAGTCAATAAAAAAAATTCTGTGTTTTGTCATATTAAAAATATGTTTTAAAGTATCTATATAAAATAAAAAGTGGCTCTCTTTAAGAATTCAGGTAAAGAGAGGACAAATTCTAGACCTAGTGGGAAGGTGGAGCCCTGATGATGCAATGGTTAAGAGCTATGGCTACAAATCAAAAGGTCAGCAGTTCAAATCCACCAGCCATTCCTTGGAAACCCCATGGGACAGTTGTAGTCTGTCCTATAGGGTCGCTATGAGTCAGAATCAACTTGATGGCACTTTTTTTTTTTTTTTGGTTTAGTAGTAAGGCAGCTAAATAGAGTCTCTGACGGTTTCTCCTACCTTTTGTGAGACCAGCAAAGCCACAAAGATAGTATCCTTTCCAGGATTAGTTTTTACAGAGCGGAAGGGTCCTTCATATCTCCTAGTTGTCTATAATACTGAAAGTAGATCTATCAGTCAATAAAAAAAACTATAATATTTAAAAAAAACTATAATATTTCAAGAGACTCATTGACTTAAAGGTGAGGGGGTTCATAGAAGCACAAAATCAAAGTAATATAACCAGCAAGTAACAGTCTAATATAAGAGATAAACCTATATGACCTGAATTCAAATCCCAGATGAACTCAGGCTTTCTAAGAATTATATAAATCTGAGAAACTCTGACATAATGTTTTGTTCTAAGTATTTTCCACAAACCACATACTTCAAAATAATCAGGGTCCAACTCCACATCTATTGAATTAGAATCATGGATGGGGGTGGAGGTGACCTGGGAATCTGTATTTTTAAGAAGTTTCACAGATGTAGAGTTGCCAGATATAGTAAATAAAAATACAGGAATTCCAGGTGAATTTGAATTTCAGATAAACAACAAAAATTGTTTTAGTATTTGTTCCATGCAATATTTGGGACATACATGTACAAAAAAAATTATCCATCGTTTATCTATTTTAGCTTGCAATCCTACCTAGACGAGTCTATACCCACTGAAGCCACGTTAGTCACTAAACTAACAAGATGTCCATCTCCACTGTTGTATCTTCCTGATAGTGCCAATTTTCCAGACTCCTGCTGTTCTATGGTGACATCCTTAATCCTGGCTTCCCATTCTCAATGTTGCCTCATTGTCACAATATGGCTGCTGCAGCTCTAACCATCACCTCTGTGTTCAGGAAGAATTTTAAAACAATGTTGTTGTTTTTTTTTTATCATACATTAAAATAAATTCCAGATAGAATCAATAGTTAAGCATAAAATTATATTATTAAAATACTAGGATGAATAGAATAGATTATCAGATATATGGAGGAATGAAGACAGCAACTGTAAGGCAACAGGATACATCATCACAAGGAATAATTTGAAAAATAAATGAAAATAAAATATTTTAAAAGGTAAAATGAAATAGAAATCAGCAGACTAAAATATATTTACATAAATCATGAGAAAATATTAGTATCTACGCTCTTTAAAGAAATCATTCAGCTTAACAGGAAATGCCTAAGAAAAATAGCATGAACATATTATTCATACAAAGAAACTATAATAACAAGGAAATGTCCTTTTTCATTAATAATTGTAATTGAATTAAAATACTGTAAAATTTTAAAAGGTTTTAAAAATCTAATAAAATAAACCTGTAATTCCACCTTATCAGATAACTACGTTCACTTCTGCATAGCTGATACTGAAGCGTACATACATTTTTATAAGATTTCATTTATTTTACATGATATAAAATTTTCAATTTCTACAAATGTTATTATTAAGTGGCTGTATGATTTTCAAAAACCCTGGACAATCACTAAACTCCAATGGTCTTCATGTTGGACTGCACTTAAAAATAAAGCAAATTTAATATGGTAAAATATGCAGTAAGTACCATTAAGATGTACCCGTTGACTCTATTTTTCCACTGATAGGATACTATCTCAAGAGAACAGTTTATCAGAAATAAATATAAAGTCAACAATGTTCGTTGTTGTTGTTGTGTGTGATCAAGTTGATTCTGACTCATAGTGACCATATATGACGGAGTAAAACTGCCTGAAAGGTTTCCTAGGCTGTAATCTTTACAGGAGCAGATCGCCAGGTCTTTTCTCCTGTGGAGCCCCTGATGAGTTCAAACTGCCAACCTGCTGGTTAGCAACCATTGTGCCACTAGGGCTCCTTAGAGATGGTCATTAGAGTGATGTAAATTGTAGCAAAACAATTAGAACCAACCATAATGGTTTAAAATTTCTGGAATATTATGGGCATTTATATACGTATATTTATCCATAGTATAATGGGTATAAACCAAACTCATTGCTGTCGAGTGGATTGCGACTCATAGAGACCCTATAAGACTGAGTAGAACTGCCCCATAGGGTTTCCAAGGAGTGGCTGGGGGATTCAAACTGCTGACCTTTTGGTTAGCAGCTGAGCTCTTAACCACTGTGCCACCAGTGCTCCATAATGGGTATAGATAGGCATAAAATAATGAAAATTATAGAGCTACTTAAAATAACAGTAACATTTGTAGAAATGGACAATTTTATGTCATGTACAATAAATGAAGTCTTATAAAAATTTATGTACACTTCAGTACCAGCTATGCAAAAATGAACATGATTATCTGGATAGATAGGATTATAAGCTTAGTTTATAAACCTTTAAAAATGTTACAATATTTTCATTTCAATTTAAAACATCAAAAAGAGAAAAAAATAGGAAGGAAAAACAAGAAATACAGTTCTCAAAGATAACAAAATTATTTTAAATATAAATAAATAAAAAGAGCACAAACAGGGAAATTATTTATTTGTTCGGGATTACCAGGGTAAAGAGAAAGTAATCCAACCCTTGTCTATGCAGGAGGAATAGGAACATGGTGGCCAAGTGTCCTCTTGAGGGAGGCGGGGTCAGCTGAAGTAGGCAGTGTCATGTGTGGGCTGGCCAATTTGAGGGTTCTTTTGGTCCCAGTCCCACGAAGCCCTGCCAGTCATCCCCATTTGCCTGGGTTTAGGTGACCCTTTGTGCTTGGCTGCTTATCTAAAGGTTTAAACCTATTCAGCAGCACTGTGGAAGAAAGACCTGGTGACCTGCTTTCGTAAAGATTACAGCCAAGAAAACTCTATGGAGCAGCTTTACTCTGTGACACATGGGGTTGCCATGAGTCAGAAGTGACTCAATAGCAACGAGTTTAACTTTTTGGTTTGGTCCTTGGAAGCAAAGGTTTCATTGTAGTCTGGTCTGTCCTCTTTCAGGAGAAGCGAGCAGATGCTGTGACTCTTGATGCAGGTTGGGTGTATGAGGCAGGCCTGGCCCCCCACAACCTGAAGCCTGTCGTGGCAGAGTTCCATGACTCAAAGAGTAAGTTCTCCCTGGGAAACTAAAAGGGAGATTTTTCTGTGTGGTAGACACTGAGTCTTGTCCCTTTCTGACAGGTAATGGAGATTCAGTGCATGCCTCTCAGTGGAGATTGTGGGGAATGAGGGGCCCTGCTGGCTGCCATATGCATAAATCAAGGGCTCTGTTGCACCAGGGCGGGTTGAGGGATGGTGCTCCTGACACTGACACCCTGGGCCTGGAAATGTGCTCACTGGAGAAACAGCATGCCATGTGCAGCCTGACACAAAGGCCACCAGGGTTTAGTGATGTATCTGGGGTTTTGAAGCCTCCAGAACCATTGGTACCACACACACACAGAGGAGAGACCACCCAGGAGTATGCACTAGGAACTCCAATAGTCTTGCAACTCTTCTGAGACCAGTGCAACCCTTCCTGGACCTGTGTCAGAAGATAGAAAACAATTGCAGGGAGTCAGGGAATGTGGGTATTGCCACATCCCCAGTTTCTTGGTGGGCTTGGATTGGTAAGTGTAGGCTGAGACACTACAGGCCCAGGGTAGGTACATGTGCATGTGGCCTTCTGGCCTGTGCGCTTGCCTGGAAGGTTATTACAAATGTTCCCTTTGTGGCCTACGAAGGTTTTTCTGATTCCTCCCTCCTTACCATCCACCCCAATATAAGTATGGCTTCTGGGTTCCCTTTCTCGGCTCAGGAGTCCAGTAGTGATGATCAATGTTTCTCCATGGCCCAGGCTGAGGGTCTTTCATTTACTCTGTCACTTTGCAGATCCACAAACTGGGTATTATGCGGTGGCCGTGGTGGTGAAGGATAGCGGCTTCCAGTTGAAGGATCTCCGAGGCAAGAGGTCCTGTCACACAGGCCTAGCCAGATCCGCTGGGTGGAATGTCCCCATTGGCAGGCTTCTCTGTGACTTGCCGGAGCCACGTGTGCCAATTGAGAATGGTAAGCTGGCAGGAGTTGCCGACACAGGTGACATTGGGGCGACACAGTCACTATCAGGTGAACATGTGTGATGAACTCTGGAGGGGGAGTGTGGGGAGAGGGGCGTTAAGCAGTTTTAAGCAGGCAGGGTCGCTGCAGCAGCAGCCCTTGGGAGGTAGCAGCTAAGTCTTTTCTTCTCTGAGCTCTCAACACCCTGGCAGAGGCAGTTGTGCAGGAGTGGGAGGAAAAGGCATCAGGGTTCCACAGAGGGTTTCAGTCTGGGCTGCGGTTGCTGGGCCCTGTTGTCTATTTCCCTGGAGTTCTTTCCTGCCTGTAGCTGATGCGTGTCACATTCTGCTGCAAGTTTCTCTGGTGGCCGCGCTCTTGGCCTGCACCCCTCCAGGCCTGTTCTCCCACCTCCCGGGCGTGGCTCCCAGAGACGACTTCTCTCTTACAGGGCAGGGTGGTGGGTGGGCTGACAGCCAACTGAGACAGGCCTCGGTGGGTAAAAGCACAGGACTGTTTCTTGGGGAGGAGAGGGAGAAAGGACTAACTTGTTCCTATTTCAGAACCCTTGATCTTGATGAGTTAACACAAGTAAAGCATAGCTGGGACTGAGTTTCCTGGTTTTGTTTTGGTCACGCTGTGTCCCCTAATGAGCCCAGGCTGGGAGATGGAATTGGCTGTGGCAAGGCTGGCTCATACCCTGATGTCCATCTCTCTGTGTTGAGTAGCAGTGGCCAACTTCTTCTCCGGCAGCTGTGTCCCCTGTGCGGATCGAAATAAGTTCCCCAACCTGTGTCAACTGTGTGCGGGGCCAGACAAGTGTGCCTGCAACTCCCATGAACGTTTTTTCGGCTACTCAGGCGCCTTCAAGTGAGTGAGACTGTCTGCTGTTCCATGGTGGCCAGACTGCCACATGGCCTCAGGCTGAGAGACCTCCCTGGCCCAAACCAAAGTCCGGTCTGCCGACAGGGGTGTTAAAGAAACGTAATCCATTTGCAGGGAGTCAGTGGTACAGCTTGGGAATCCTGCGACCAGGCCAGCGTTTGTTCTATTTCATCCTACCCCAAGGCATGCTAGGCTTGCACCCATGCCCACAGCAAGCCCCTCTCTCTCTGCCCAGAGCCCCAGAGCCTGGAAGGACAGGCGTGTCCCTAGTGTCCGGGCCCATTCTTCATTGACCCTCTCTCCGTCTCTACTGCAGCAGTGCCCCGTGCTCCATGCTCTGGCCTCTCCCCAGCCTCCCCTCACTGTCCCTATGCAGACAGCTCGCTTAGCTGATTTCTTGCTCCCTCTTTTTCTGTTAGTTATATCCTAAAGTTTATAGACTAGAAGCCAGCCAAGGGCACATTTCTACCCTCAGGGGATGCTATGCCTTTATCCTCCATTTCAGAAGCTTAAATCTTTTCTGTATTAAAATATCTTCAATTGCTGTTTGCTGTTTGGGAACACAAGATGAGGAACCTCCAGCTCTTGGGAGCTCATCTCCCCTCCTCACTAGCATCCTGGATGTCAATACTCCCATGTGCTGGCCTCACCATGTGAATAAGGGGGCTGCACAGAGGCCTCCCCCAGGCTCTGCCTAGAAAGAGCAGCCTTTGCCCCAGGGCTGGAATGTACGATCAGAGCCTCCTGCCCTGCAGGACAGGAGCCCTCCTAGTGTGTTTCTTTCCCACAGGTGTCTGCAGGAGGGTGTTGGAGATGTGGCCTTTGTCAAGTATGAGACCATACTTGGTAAGTGATGGGAACAGAATCCCGCAGGTCCCATCTGTACAGCAGGCATTCTTTTTTTTGTGCCCCCCTTTTTCATGCTCAGTAGTCAGATATGAACATATAGTCCCCTTCCTTTGTCATCACTTGGGTTTCTTTCTGGCGCAGAGGTGGGCACCTGTGGGCTCTCCCACCTGAATTCCTGGGCCTCTTTCCGTGGTTCGACCTCCTCAACAAGTGGCTGCACCACTGCACTGGGCATCAGAGCCTTCCTTGCTGTTAACCTCTTTACTTTAAACTGGCTGTGGGTCTTGAGCAAGTCAATTTCCTTCTATATTCTCTGGCCCTTAATGATTGCTCTGGGCCCCCCAGCTCACAAATCCCGTGATTCAATAGGAATTGCAAGAGCGGGGAGGGGTTACCACAGCTCATGACTTCTGCCTGCAGAGAAGCTCATCTGGCTTTTCCTCCTCCAGAAACCCTCCCAAACAAGGCCGACAGGGATCGGTATGAGCTACTCTGCCCAGACAACACCCGGAAACCCGTGGACGAATACAAGGAATGCTTCCTGGCCCGTATCCCTTCTCACGCCGTTGTGGCCCGAAGTGTGGATGGCAAAGAGGACTTGATCTGGGAGCTTCTCAACAAGGCACAGGTATCCCCATCTCCCATTTGCTGTCCTCCCCTCCTGCTTTGTGGACCTGTTTGGATTTGGGGGTTTTCTTCCTTGCCTTCTTGCCACTGTAGAAGTTCTTCTGTGCTCAGGACACAGCAGGAACCACACCACACGTCACCTGTTTCTCTAAAAGTACTGGCAAGTACTCCTCACAGAGCAGCAGAGTCCTGCCCAGCATTACCATCAGCTAGGTCCCTTCTTCTTGGGCCGGTGATGTCTGAAGAGGCTCCTTATTGCTCTGTTCCATTCTTTTCCATCTAAACCAGGCCTTCATGGCCAAGTGCAAACACTCCCTCCCCTATAAAGCCCTCCAAAACACCCCCAGAAGGAAACAACCTCTCTCCCAATTTCTCTCAGCCTGATTGCCATGGGTGCTACAAGCGCAGCATGCTTTACTCCCCTAGAGCAGTGGACTGCCAGGCCTGAGCCAACATCCTCTTGAGCAGCCCACCCATCTGTCCATCAAGAGTTTAAGTGGCAAGCACACAGTGCCAGCCTCTGAATGAGACACACGTCTTGATCTCCAGGCACTCTCAACTCAGTCAGGGAGACAGGCCCAGAAACACGTTCAGGGAAATAGGATGTGGCATGGGTCTAGGAGGGTTGAGAGTAGAGAAGTCCCGTGTGGGCAAAAGCTGGTTGGCTGCCTTCTCTCCTGGCACCTTAAAAAAGTTTCATAGTTTTGAATTCTGTTTTCTAGGGTTTTTCTCTTCTCTTTGGTACCATTTTTCAGCCTCCCTGTACACTGTTGCCATTCACCATTGTGTTTTACCACGAACAGGAGCAGTTTGGCAAAGACAAGTCAGGAGAGTTCCATCTCTTCAGTTCCCCTCATGGGAAGAACTTGCTGTTTAAGGACTCTGCTGAAGGGTTTCTAAAGGTCCCCCCTGCGATGGATGCCTGGCTGTACCTGGGATATGAGTATGTCACTGCCATTCGCAATCTAAAGGAAGGCAAATGTAAGTACTCAGGAAGGACCTGGTGACCACAGGAGCTTGGGAAACCTGGCAGGGGCGGGGACCAGTGATAGAATCTTCCCAGGCTTCAGAGTGCCTCACCTGACATGACTTTATCTGCCCTGCCTGTGCAGTCCAGTGCTAGACTGATGCTAAATGGTGTTAGTTATTATAAGGTGGGCCTGGACATTAACAGACAGGTTTGGAGGAAATCCATATTTAAAATAAATTGAATTCAGACCAGCACTGTTTCCCTTGTATAAATCAGGGTCACCATGCTCACTTTGTGAAGCTGATTAGCCTCATCCGAAGTAAGTAAAATGGAGTGAAATCGCTACACACTTGCACAACTCCAGCCAGTATTATGGTCAGCCTGTGCCACAGAGAGAAAGGTTGATCCCACTCTTGAATTTCCTTGGGTCTTTGAGGGTTTGTTTGGTTGTTCATTTATTCCGTTCATTTATTGAACATCTAGTCATAAGCTGGAGTCCCTGGGTAGTGCAAATGGTTAAATGCTCGACTACTAGCCAAAAGGTTGGTGGTTCAAATCCACCTGGAGGTGCCTTGGAAGGCAAGCCTGGCGATCTGCTTCTGAAAGGTCACAGCCTTGAAAACCATATGGAGCAGTTCTACTCTGTACACATGTGGTTGTCATGAGTCAGAGCCAGCAATTAACAACAATCATAAACTGTGCTGGGTGCTGGGCATACAATGATGAGTAAAACATAGATTCTGCTGGAATGGAAATTTCAACTAGTAGGGAAGACAGATGTTTAATGAATAGTCACAGTATTGAGGAACCAATTACAAAATAAGATATCTGCTCAAAAGAAGAAAACAAAACAAACATCATGATCCTATGAGAATGTAAAACAAAGAAAAAACAGTTCTACACCTGGGGTTCACGTAAGGGTTCCCTGAAGAAGTGACTCTTGAGTTGAGTCTGAACAATGAGCAGGTGTCTGTTTATTCAGCAGACATTTGTTAAGCTGACCATGTGTGAGGCACTGCCCTAAACAATGAAAAGGCCATGATGGACAAGACAGACAGGGCCCTTGCTCTGTTGGAGCTGATGTCCTCCTTCAGGGAAACAAACAATCAATAAACAAGAAAAGAGCAGGTGTTTAAGTGCTAATTTAAAAAGAAGAAGAAGAAAAAAAAAAAAAAAAAAACCACCCAACAACAACAGCCTGAAGTGAGAGTACCCACAGATTGGGGAGGAAAGTTGGCTTCTCAGAAGAAATAATTTTAAGCTAAATCTAAATGATAAGAAGCCAGCTGAGAGATTTTGTCTTGACTTCATTTAGAGATAATTAATTTCTCAAATGGGATCTATTTGTTTATGGTTGGAAAATGCCAGCATTTGCTTGAAGAGAGTAGCATTAATAACCACCAAGCAACTTGGGCCTCTTCTGGTCTCTGACTCTCTGTCTTATGCCATAGGCCCTGAGGATGAAGGATGCAGGAAGGTGAAGTGGTGTGCAGTGAGCCACCACGAGAGGGCCAAGTGTGATGAATGGAGTGTTAACAGTGCAGGGAAAATAGAGTGTGAGTCAGCAGAGTCCACTGAAGACTGCATTGCCAAGATCATGGTATGTCACTCCTTTGCAGCATCCCTGTCATTGCTGCCTGCTTGTCCCTAACGCTCAGTGGGTGTTCCAGGCAATGATGTAGAAACCCTGATTCCCAGGAATCTGGCCCTCACTCAGGATGAGCAGACCCGTGTGGGCACAGCCCCACAGGCAGGCTCAGCACCTTTAAGCACGTGGCTTTCTAGGACGCCTTCAGGGCTCATTCTGGTATATTAGCATAAGATGGGCAGGCAATCTGAGCAGTGTTGTGCTTTGGAGAGTCTGGACCATGGTGTGGGTGTGCCTGAGAGGCAGCCGTGACAGTGTGATAAGGACCCATGTTGATTGTGAAAGAGGCTGAAAGTTTTGTTTCATTGATCAAAAGAGTATTTCATGCTTGCTTTTGGAGAATTTTGAAAATCCTGAATAATATGAAGGAGAAAATAAAAATCCTTTGTAATCTTATCCTGTTAATAGGGATCATATTATACAGACATTATCTAGTCAGCCTTTCCCAGGTCATAAATCATTCTTAGAAAATATGATCTTTAAATGTTGCATTGTATTCCATAGTGTAGAGGTACTACAATTTATTTAGCCATTTCTCCATTATTGAGCATTTTGCTTGATTCTATCATTTTGCTATTATAAGCCATTCTTGCACATTTTTGCCCACTTATACATTTTGCTCAAATAGTTGCCAACATATCTAATTATTCCTTTATGGTGTATTCCTAGAGAATCCATTACTATGTCCAAGGGAAAGCTTGGCAATCTTGTTGAATCTAAGCATCTCTGAAATTCAGGGCTTTTTAGCTAATCATTTGGGTGTATTTGATTCATTCATTGAGTAACCCATGTGTGTACCAGGCACTGAAATAGCCCTCGGCCAATGATGGGAAGATTGTGGGTTGGAGCCCCCGTCAGGAGGCACTCTATTCCACAGACACAGACTAGAGTCCCTGACTTCACCCTGTCTTTCTGTTGCACAAATTGAGTGTTGGTATCAAAAATGTGCTGTAGGAGCGTCTTTGGCAGTGTGTCCTGTGACAGGACAGAAGGACTGAATGTGCTGTGGGTCTCTGCTCTTGAATAAGCCAAGCATGTCACCTAGAGTTGATCACCAGTTTGTGATGGTTTGAGTGAAAATGAGAGTACATCTTCTAGTCTGGGTTGCTTGCCTGATCCTTTGGGAGGTTCAGTATAAACAACTACTATCTTCCTGGGCCTACATGACCTGTGATGTGAAGGCTGCTTCAAAGAAGCAGCTGGAAGGGTAGATGGGACAAGAACCAATCTCTTTTCATCTTTTGCTTTGTGTTTGCAGAAAGGAGAAGCTGATGCCATGAGCTTGGATGGAGGATTCATCTACACAGCGGGCAAGTGTGGTTTGGTGCCTGTCCTGGCAGAGAACTACAGTAAGTGGAGACGAGTGTCTCTGGTTTTATTCTCTCTGGGCCATAGAGTGAGAAGATGGGAAAATCACAGGCCTAATTCATACACAGCTGCCGGGATCACTCTCCCTGCTGCCTCCCAGGCTCTGGGTTCCACCATCTCTAATCCTTACAGTCATCCTCAAAGATGGGGGTTATTGTACCCTTCCACCAGTGAAGGAATGGGGGCTCTCTGCTGTTAAGTTCCTCCATAAATGTGACCCCGACAAAGAGGACAGCTGAGGTTCCCAGCAAGTTTTCCTGCTTCCAAAGCTCATGCTTTTCCAACCATCTTGTGGCAGGGATGCAGATATAGCTTGCAACAACCCCCTGTGGCCACAGGGTAGACAGAGCAGGAAACTTGAAATTCAGTTTGTGGCTAAATTCTAGAGGCAAGCTGAAATGAATTTGCATAATCCAAAGCCTCATCTTGTTGGGAATTGATGATATGTAGATAGCTTTCTCCTGGCTCTTTTTACTGTAAGGTAGCTGTAGTCTGAGAAAGGCATGATTTTTAATCTATAACTGAGTACTTAAGGGCTTCTTCATTTTCTTTTCTCCAGAAGGTGACCCTGGTTGTACGTTGGATGACTCAGGTGAGTTGGGACTGATAACATCAGGAGTTAAAAGGTAAATTCCTTTCACCTAAAACACAATTTTTTTTAAAAAAAGTAAATTCCCATGGTTGGGGAAGGGGATAAGGTAAGTTTAAAATTCAAATACAGGAAGATAGGCAATAGAAGAGATCCATTTTAAAATGCAAAAGAGTCATGAGAGGACAGTAATTAATAATGATGATTACTCTTTTAGACTTGCCATGATTTCTACACAGCGTTTCTCACTTAATGCTATAAAATAGGTATTATCACCTCTAAGGATGCATAAGAGGCCTCTAGGGCTCAGAGAGTTTATGAATTGTCTAAGATCATATATCCAGGAAGGCGACACAGGCCCTTTCCCCGCTGCCTTGCATTACATGAGACCTGCACATCATTAGATGAAACTTAGCACCAGCCAAGGAAACTTGCTTATTTGTACCTTGCATGACTGAGGGGAGAGCCTCACACAGGCAGGTATCTAGGAGCATGAAATTAGCCTGACCCCGCAACCAGGGCCAGGGCTGTAGCTGGGGTGGGTCTGGAGAGGTGGGGGGATCAGGTCAGGAAGTCTTACAACAAAGTGAGCCCTGGTCCCCAGAGTGCCTGTGCTCAGATCCCTGCAGGCCATGTTCCACACAACATCCAAGTCTGTCCATGTCACTTCTCCCAATTAAACCCTCCCAGCCTCTGCCCATCACTCCAGGAGCCAAGCTCTTTAGCAGAATATAGAAAGGCTTGTTCTTCTTCCATGGATAATAAGGCTTCTCTTTTTTTTCTATTGGAAACTGTTTCCTGAATTAATTAAATGGAAAACTGAAATCATGGCTTGATATCACATTCCCAGTTCTAAGGACTAGCATGTGTTTGCTGCTGAAGATGGCAGCTGACTTGATTTTGACATTTTCCACTTTGCGTATTTGTTTTGGTGCAAAACTATATTCTCCTTGTCAGAAAATGTCTGGCCCTCCTATTCCCTGTAGTTTATTGGTCTTTTACTACTCTATCTCAATACATGTTAACTTATAAAATGTTGGAGTTACATTTATTGTTCAGTATCAATTCCTCTGATATTCCACAGTGGCGGGAGAATTGCTAGTTTATATCTTCAGTGGTTTTATGCATTTGGGGAGGAGTTTATATACGAGCAATTGCTCTAATGATAATACCTTCTTCTTATTATTATTTTTTAAATTCAGATAAATCTCCCCCTGAGAGAGTGCAGCAGCTGTCTCTTTGCCTTTTATCTAACCTCAGTCAGTTATTGCAAGGGGCTACTCAAAGACAGAATGAAGAATTCAGAATATTTTTGCTTCTCTAAGGAGATAGTAGGCTTTACTTGGAGATAGACACCCTGGAGGACCCACAGACATTGATGCTTCGTTTTTGTTACCTTTCTTGTAAGGGTATCTTGCTGTGGCAGTGGTTAAGACATCAAATCCTAGTATCACCTGGAAGTCTCTGAAAGACAAAAAGTCCTGCCACACTGCAGTGGGCAGGAACGCCGGCTGGAACATCCCCATGGGCCTGATCTACAACGAGACCAAATCCTGTGCATTTGGTAAGAGAAGCTTGGGCGGGAGCTGTGGTCAGGGCCATTGATAAGAGAGATAATGGGAGGAGAGAGGTATAGTACTACATGGTGTGGGCCCTGAAGTAAAGATGGGGTAAAAAGGAACCTCAATGAAATATCAAAACAGGATGGGAAGTCTGGAGAGCTGTGGAGCTGAATCAGGATGGTTCATTTTGGTTGTACATAATGGCTTAAACGAATATACATTTACTTTCATCTCTCATGAAAATGACCAGAAGTGGGCAGTACAGGCCTGGTATGGTCATAAGAAACCTAGACTCCTCTCTTTCTGCTCCATCATTCTTAGCTGGAGGCATTCATCTTCAAGTCACATGATGGTTGCCATCATATCCATGTTCCAGGAAGCCCCAGTGACCAAGGCCAAGGGCAAATGGAAGTGTGTACCAGCTGCTGTCACTTTTAAAGGAGCTTTTCAGGAAGTAACCAGATTATCTCAAATAACTTGTAATTGCCCAAAGCTTAGATACATAGCCACACCTAGTTGTAAAAGGAGCTGAGAAATACAGTCTTGTATTTTGGTATGTTTCTGCCCCCAAATAAAACTAGGTTTTTTCTGCTAAGGAAAAAGAGGAAATGGATAATGGGTAGAGAGCTAGCAATCCCTGCGACTTAGTTTGTGTGATCCTCGGGTCTCTTTAAGTGTCTCAGCTCAGAGGTCCCTTCCAAGGGTGGAAATCAGTTTTTTCTCTGTGCCCTCTGAATATATCTTCAGGTATGAGCTTATTTCTACCCCCCTTAAAGCTCTAGGCATTAAGTTCGCCACAGATAAATGTTTTCCAGCTGTTTGGTTGTACGTTAGTTTCCTTAGTACTTCCTCTCTCCTACCTCCAAATTTGGGCAACTCTTTAAAATAGAGACCTCTAAAGCCCGTTATGAAGCGGTCAAGCCCTGTGAGTGCAGGGACCTGGAGAAAGCATATCTCTGCTGGGGGTGTTCTGTGACACCAGTTGGATATGAAGTCTGGTAGGGCAGACATTCAGAAAGCTCTGGCTCCCCACCAGCAGGGGGCACCACCTCTGCTTTCCTGAGCTTCTTGTTTTACAGCCCTGGGAGAGCAGCTGAGCTTCAAGGAAAATTCCCCATCCCTTTCCCAAACTTGGAGGAGGAGCACTGGTGCGCAAAGGTTAAAGTGCTCTGCTGCTAACTGAAAGGCTGGCAGTTCAAACACACCAGCCCACTATGAAAGAAAGAGTGGCAGTCTGCTTCTGTAAATCTTTGTTGTTGTTAGGTGCCATCAAGTTGCTTCCAACTCATAGTGACCCTGTGTACAACAGGACGAAACACTGCCCAGTCCTTCGCCAATCCTCACAATCATTGCTATGTTTGAGACCACTGTTTCAGCCACTGTGTCAATCCGTCTTGTTGACGGTCCTCCTCTTTTTCACTGACCCTCTACTTTACCAAGCATAATGTCCTTCTCCAGGGACTGGTCCCTCCTGATAATATGTCCAAAGTATGTGAGACAAAGTCTTGCCATCCTTGCCTTCTAAGGAGCATTCTGCCAGATTTGTTCATTCTTCTGGCAGTCCATGGTATATTCAATATTCTTTGCCAACACCATAATTCAAAGGCATCAATTCTTCTTTTGTCCTCCTTATTCATTGTTCAGCTTGTGCATGCATATGAGGCAATTGAAAATACCATGGCTTGGGTCAGGCACACCTTAGTCCTCAAAGTGACATCTTTGCTTTTTAACACTTTAAAGAGGTCTTTTGCAGCAGATTTGTCCAATGCAATGAGTCCTTTGATTTCTTGACTGCTGCTTCCATAGGCATTGATTGTGGATACAAGTAAAAGAAGACCTTGACAACTTCAGTCTTTTCTCCATTTATCATGATGTTGCTTATTGGTCCAGTTGTGAGGATTTTTGTTTTCTTTATGTAGAGGCACAGTCCATACTGAAGCTGGTAGCCTTGGAAACCCTGTGGGGCAGTTCTACTCTGCCCTATAGGGTTGCTATGAGTTGGAATTGATGGGAACGGGTTTGGTTTGGTTTTGGTTCCCAAGCCTGAAGTCCTAGTAGTGGCTCTTCTAATGAATAGAGGGGAAGGAGACATCTGAACTCAGGTGGTGTAGTCTCAGGGAGTGATGCCTTTGGTTTTCATCCGTTTTATGTCGTTTCCATTTTGTCATTTTTTAGGTTAAATCATGACACTATCAGGGTGCTCAAAGGAATCCCCTCCACCCTGAATTGTAATGGTCACTGACTCCTTTTCACACCTTCAATTCAGTTTGCTTTTAACGCCCACAGCCTGGCAAGTCCTGAGTTGGTGTAGCAGGTCACAGAATCAGTATGTTCTACCTCTCCTGGGCCCTACAGCCCCGTTACATGTTAGATAAAGGCTGCTCATATTGGCTCAGGTAGCAGGAGCTGACTTCTTGTTGTCTTTCTGCCCAGATAAGTTTTTCAGTGAAAGCTGTGCACCTGGCTCTGAACCAGATTCCAACCTCTGTGCTCTGTGTGCTGGTTCACAATCAAACAAGTGTGCTCCCAACAACAAGGAGAAATACTATGGCTACACTGGAGCTTTCAAGTGAGTCTCTTAATTCTGACATGAATATAATACCCCAGCCTTGATCAGATTTCTTTTTTAGGAACTGAGGCTGAGATTATTACGTTTCTAGCCTGTTGGTGCTACATGTGTTAGGGACCAGCTTTTGCAACCAAATGCAGAGATGTGTGTTAAGGGGTATCTGGCCTCTCCACGGCACAGGCTGCCAGGTCCAGCAGTCAGACACAGTGGAGATAGGCAGTATGGATAAGTTCAGAGGTCCTCAACAGGTGGCTCTCCTGAATGACAGATGTGTCACTCTGACCTGCTCTCTTCTTTCTCCCCCTGTCTGGAACTCCGCAGGTGTCTGGTTGAGAAGGGAGATGTGGCCTTTGTGAAGAAGCAGACAGTCCTGGATAACACTGGCAGTATGTGCATATGCTCCTCTTTCCCCGTAAAATCTGGATCACTAAGATTCAGGTCACTAGGATTCACTTGTATTCAGGGGTGACTTCATGAAAGTACTATGAACTCTGTCATGCTCCAGAGCCCTAATTCTCAACCTGTTTGACTCAGTGAAAAGAGAAGTCTTCATCTGCATAGGCAGAGTGGTGACGACTGTGGGGTTCACAGTGGCCTTAAATTCTCTCCCACGCACACTCCCAAAGCTACAGGCATTTTGCCCCCTTACTCCTTAATATTTCAGTGCATATTTCCTAAGAACAAGGACATTCTCTTATATACCTACTGTAAAATTACCAACTTCAAAAAATTTCATATTAACATTGATTTAATACTCATCAAGTCCACAGTCCAAATTCAAATTTTGTGAATTATCCTGATAAGGTCCTTTATAGCTATTTTATATATTTCCTGGCTCTGCACACTGAGGTGGCCTAGAGACAATGGTACACCAGTGAGAATAAGCACCAAGATTTTGGTTTCTAAATAACTTCTCCACTAAAAGGAGCTGGACTTCTTGGAAAAATAGTTGATTCCATGGCTGAGGCAGAAAATATATAAAGTGAGCCTGGATCATCATGTTGAAGTGCTCAAAGAATGATGGTGACATGTCAAAGCACACAGGAGCCAATCTGAAGGACCTCCCACTGGCCACATCTGGTACATTTTGAGCATTAAAATAAGTAGTAATAGTGGTGATAGATAATAACCCATTAGATAAAATAAGAATACCTGAGTCCATACTGATTGTCTTAGTGATCTAGTGCTGCTACAACAGAAATACCACAAGTGGATGGTGTTAACAAAGAGAAGTTTATTTCCTCATAGTCAAAGTAGGCTAAAAGTCCAAATTCAGGACATGCTCTGCTCCCGGCACTGCTTTCTTGATGGTATGAGGTCTGCCTGTCTCACTGCTCACTTCTGTCTTTTATATCTCAAGAGATTGCCTCAGGACACAATCCAGTCTTGTAGATCTGCGTTACTAACACAACTGCCACCATCCTCCCTCATTAACATCTTAGAGGCAGGTTTACAACATACAGGAAAATCACACAGTACCAGGAATCATGGCCTAGCCAAATTGATACACACATTTTTTGGGGGTCATAATTCAAACCACGACACTGATTAAACAAATGAGAGAGAAAGCTCTTGCTCATGGTAGAATGCTAACCAATAAATGTAGAAGGAATGACAAAGAAAATCATCATTTGGCAGCCAATGTAGTAATGATTGATTCAGGCAAGAATCATCAACGGGTACTGAAACTAGCTGGTGAAAGTTGGACAGCCATGACACTGAAAAAACTCAAAATACTAATCATACTGCACATCCCACATTCGACCCTTCAGAATTACTAGTTTCAGAACTAGTCAGTAGTTTGAATCCACCAGCCACTCTGCAGGAGAGAGATGTGGCAATCTGCTTCCACAAAGACTATTGTTGTTAGGTTCTGTTGAGTTGGTTTCAACTCATAGTGACCCTATGTACAACAGAATGAAACACTGCCCAGTCCTGTGCCATCCTCACAGGATGGCTTTACCAAGCATGATGTCCTTCTCCAGGGACTGGTCCCCCGATAACATGTCCAAAGCACGTAAGATGAAGTCTCACCATCCTCCCTTCTAAGGAGCATTCCGTCTGTACCTATTCCAAGACAGATTTGTTCATTCTTCTGGCAGTCCATGGTATATTCAATATTCTTCACCGACACCATAATTCAAAGGCATCAATTTTTCTTCAGTCTTCCTTATTCATTGTCCAGCTTTCACTTGCATATGAGGTGACTGAAAATACCATGACTTGGGTCAGGCACACCTTAGTCCTCAAAGTGACATCTTTGCTTTTTAACACTTTAAAGAGGACTTTTGCAGCAGGTTTGCCCAATGTAATATATCATTTGATTTGTTGACTGCTGCTTCCATAAGTGTTTACTGTGGATGCAAGTAAAATGAAATCCTTGACAACTTCAAAATTTTCTGTTTACTATGATGTTGCTTTTTGATCCAGTTGAGAGGATTTTTGTTTTCTTTATGTTGAAGTGTAATTCATACTGAAGACTGTAGTCTTTGATCTTCATCAGTAAGTGCTTTAAGTCCTCTTCACTTTCTGCAAGCCCATAAAGATTACAGCTTCAGAAACCCTCTGGGGTGGTTCTACTCTGTCCTATAGGGTCGCTATGAGTCAGAATTAACTCAACGGCAGTGGGTTTTTAATAGGCACACAAACTCTTTGAGCTCTTTTTTCCTCCTCTTATTTTCCCAGCACCTAGCATAGTACCTGGCACATAGTAGCTAAATAAATCTGTATTTGAAGAAAGGAATTTGGGTCGGCTAATTTTTCTTTCTTCCCTCCTTTTTTTTTTTTTTTCCTTCAGGGGCTCTCCTTCCTAATACCTGAGTGTACCCCTAAGCCTAGTTCTTTGTCACCCTTATTTCTTTTTATACATTCCTGAGTAGGGCTCCTCTCTCAGCTTCAACTCTCCACTCTTTGCAACGACTCCAAAATTCTTATCTCTTGAATAAAATTTAGATAGGAGATCTGACCTCCCATCTAAATTTCATTCCAGTATTTCCATTTGCCAAGTGGTCATTTTTATGTATAAAAAACATTGGTATTGTAAACTTAATTTGTTTAAATCCAGAGTCTTCATCTTTCTTTCAAAATCCACTCCTTTTCTCACAACTTCTATTCCTATTCTGGATCTTTTTACACTCTCTGCTGATCAGGCCTAGATTAGTCTGTGGCTTATTTTATTTGTTCAAAATAGGCCTTTGTTAAATGCTTATGGTATGTTATGATGTAGAAGAAACAGGATACAAAATCTCACTTGTGTATATACTTGTGTGCATATTGTGTGTATGTGTAGAAAAAAGTCTGGAAGAAATGCACCAATGTTGAAGGTATGTGCTATGAGATTATAAGTATTTCAAAATTTTCTTCCTTATGCTCTTTAGTATTGTACAGATTAAACGTGTGTTAACAATAATGCATGCACAACTTTTATTGCACACATAAAAAATTTTTAACATGATCTTCTAGATTTCCACTGCTACCCTCCTAACCCAGACTACATATCTCCCATTTAGTTTTCCTCAGTTGGATAATTTCACGTCCAAGCTCATATGGTAACACTGATTTCCATTTATATGTTCTCAAAGACCCATTTTTTCTTCCCACGTAAGCTCCACATTCCACTACCAGCACTCAGGGCTTATAGTGCCTCGGTGTGACTCACCTGTTCAGCCCCTTTATCTGCGAGTCTGCTCCAGTGGGACTGTTCCCCTCTCACCCATAGAGGTACCGGGGTATCTGTCCCTAAGTCTTGCCAGTGCCCTCTTTTCCTCCCCTAGAGAGGCATTTCTTTCTCCTCCTGTCAATCCTACGCATATTACAAGACACATCTGAAACGTGGCTTCCTCCAGCTAGCTTTCTCTTATTATTCCACCCTCACTGCCTTGGTTCTGAACTCACACAGCATTTATAGTGCATCCCACAAAATATAAATTGTTATTATCTGTGCCCTGAACATTTGCTTTTGTGTATGTGCTATTACCCTCCTCCAAAAAGATTGTGCTTAGCGGAAGGTGAGAACTTAGTATTGCTCAATAAACGCCTAAATTATGAAAAAGAATGAAATGAGTTTGCGAAGAAAGATGACGGATTCCATTTGGAAGGTGTTGAATTTGAGGGGCTGGTAAGAAAGGGAAGGAGAAATGTTAGAAGGTGATTGAAGATGTATGCTGTTACTTGGTGGGAGGAGGAGCAGGCAAGTTAGATCTTTCTATTGAAACTAAAAATGCAGATACCCTTTGAACTAGCTGTTCTATTTCTACTTGTACATAGTCATATGCAGTGATATTCACTTTAGCCCTCCTGTAGTAGCAAAGAATTGGAAATAACCTAAATACCCCTCAGTGGAGAAATGGTTTAAAAAAATACTGTGTTACATGCATACTATGGAATATTATACAGTAATTTTAAAAATAAGCTAGATTTACATACAATGACACAGAAGGATAACATGTTTTGTTAGCTGAATTAAAAAAAGATATGGAATTTTACATTTGTCAAGATCCAACACTAAACAAAATCATAGACATTCATATAGACACATATGTAGGAAAATGCATACAGCAAGACCTAGAAGGAAACACACAAATGTGATATCAAGGATTACCACTACAGAACAGAGTGGGATTTGGGAGTATAGAAAAAGAAGTATTTTTACTTTATGTATAAATATGTTTAAATTTTTGTAATGACTATGAACTCATATACTACTTATTCAATAAAATATGAAGGAAAATGTTGCAATCCTCTATTTTGGGAGAGAAGTTAAAGCTGACAAAACGTTTATGAGAATTTCCTCAGAAGGAAGTAGCAGAAACCCTGCGAATGAGTGAGATTTTTTCAGAGAGACTACAGAAAAGAATGAAGCAAGGGGCTGAGAACAGAGTATAGACCTGTGCCCACATAGGCATGTGTGCAATTTCATTTAGAACCAGTAAGAGTGAGTCAGATTTAAAACACTGGTGCAGCTTCCAAAAGGGACCTCAGGAGAAAAGTTCTTTTGTTTGGCCGTGTCAAATTGTAGAGCACAAAGATTTGAACAGCTGGCTTAGAGTGTTATGTTCTTCCTGTGCTAGAACAACATGCACAGAATGCTTTGGAATTTAGTAGAAAAGAGGATCTTTTTAAACAACATCCACAAAATGTAGTTAACTCAGTGAGAGGTTGGAAGGGGGTAGTCACTAGTAATTCCTGGTAAGTGTGAGTTGAATGTCACCTTGTAGACCACGTGGGTGTCTCTTTTCTTCTGCATGACTGTAACCCCATTGTGTGCAACGGGTTTGTCAAAGTTAGGCAGCTTTGGCTGATCCACCTTCTTTCCCTCCCATGTAATGACCCTGAAGCGGGAAAGGATTGGAAGGAGGAAGATTTTCAGTTGCTGTGCCTGGATGGCACCCGAAAGCCTGTGAACGATGCTAACTGCTACCTGGCCCGAGTCCCAAATCACGCTGTGGTCTCAAGGAAAGACAAGGCAGCTTGTGTTCGCCAGGTGTTACACAACCAACAGGTATGGACCAACCAGGGCCTCCCCACCCTTTCTTCCTAGATGAACAAGGGTTATTTGGGGGAGTTCACAGCTAAGTTCAAGGCCAGACTCCAGTATACTCTTTCTGGAAACTCGAATTGGGAAGCCCTGGACTCAACTCAAATAACTGGGTTCAAGTCTCAGCTTTGTGGCTTTCTAGCTGTGCCGTCTTAGGCGTACTATTACTGAACCTCTTTACACCTGAGTTTCCTCTTATTTATAAAATAAGAATGATAATTTTACCTACTTCTTAATTTTTATGAGGATTAAATGAGGTAGTGCATCCAAAGGGCATAGGAAAATGTCTGGTTTACAGAAAGTGCTCAGAACATGTCAGCTATATTTGTCTCCCAGTCCTGGACACTGAAGAAAAGTCACCCATCTGATCCACGTGCCCTTGGGACCAAGAATCTACATTGTTCCTCCCTAACATTGCTCAGTGGCACCCTCATTTCCCCACTTCAGTCTTTTTGAAAATGAAGACTGATCCCATTTCCCAGCATCCTGTGATACAAATGGTGAAGACTGGAATTCGTGTTTCTCTTGCTTAGGTACACTAAGTACTATTCTCAACAGCTAGAAAAAGACAGCAGCCCTACAACAAGAGAGCTCGCCGTCTGGGGAGAACAACCAACCCAGTCCCCGTCTTGTGGTGGACTGCCTTAATATTCTAATCCTGGAGACCTTCCCCTCAGGCACAGCTCACTGCCAGTTGATGCTACTATTAGTTGTTTATTTTTTAAAAAATTAAGATAGCATAATTCAAGACTTCCCTTAGGCACATGAAGGGATATGTTACTGTCCTCTTGTTTCTTATAAGCAGCCCCCCAGGGACATGGCCAATGAAATGGGGAAGAGATATCAAAGAAGTCAGAAGGGGGTGAGGGAGACCTCTGAGAGAAGGGTGGGACCAGGATGGACCCTACAAAGAGAGTTGTGGCTACAGGAAAGCATGGAGCTGAGTCCCATGGTGGGTAATGCCAGGCGAGGGATGTGGAAAGATCTTGAGGCTCACCCTGTCCGCTTACCTTTTTCTTCAGGGCTGGTTCAGAGCTTCAGCCTCCCATCCATGTGCTCCCAACTGCTTGCTGCCACAGTTCCTCATGCATTTTCTCTTCATTTGACAGGAGCAGTTTGGAAGACAGGGCTCTGAGTGCCTTGCAGGCAGATTTTGTTTGTTCCAGTCTGAAACCAATGACCTGCTGTTTAGAGACGACACAAAATGTTTGGCCGAACTTAAGGGCAAAACAACATATGAAAAATACTTAGGAGAAGAGTACATGACAGCTGTGGCTAACGTGGCACAATGTTCAACCTCAAGTAAGTAGGAGGAGCTCCAAGGGGGAAGTTACAAGCCAGGCACTGTGCTGGGTTCTGGGTGGTGGGTACAAAAGGAGGAGTAGGCTGTGGCCCCGTGAGATCACATGGACAGATACAATGGTAAGGGAAAAATGTAGTCCCAGCATGTCATGAAAGGCCAGCTTGTATGGGCAGATAGTAAGGGTGATACAGGGTCAGAGTGCTAGGGAAGTGAATTTCCTGGAGATGCAGAATTCCATTTTACTACTAATGAAACGGTTTATGTGCACGTTCCCATTTCTCTGCAGCAAACTCCTTTCTTTTTAGAGTTGTGTTGTTCAATATAGCAGCCACTAGCCACATGTAGTTAATTAAATCTGAATTAATTAAAATTAAAAATTCAGTTCCTCAGTCACACCAGCTACATTTCAAGTGTTCAATAGCCAAGCGTGGCTCCGTATTGGTCAGCAGAGTGAACATTTCTGTCATTGTAGAAAATTCTTTTAGACAGTGCTGCTCTAGAGGGTTTGAGCAATGACAAGTTCTGTTAACCAAAAGCTGCCATACATAGCACTCATGTTGAAGACCAATTTCCTAAGAGTCAAAAGACGGTAAAACATAGCTTTGCACTAGAACAGTGTTGGACTTAATTTAATCACTTGCAATCATTTTGAAGATGTGGGAGAATAATGTGTGGTTGCAGTCATTCTTCAACTTTAGTGTGCATATTAAAATAATGATTCCCAGGCCCAGGCCATGGAGACACTGATTCAGCAATAGGGTCAGGGTATCTGCGTTTTAACAGCTACTCCACATAATTATGATGTAAGGAACTTGCCTGTCCAGGGCCACTGTTGTGAGCACTCAAGTTATACTTACTTAAACTATAACCTCCTTGAGGGGAGGAAGTCTGGCTGTGCTCTTCTCTGCTCTATCCCCTGCCCCTAACAGGGAAACTAGAATATTCTAGGTGCTTAGTGCATCTTGCCATGCTAATTCCTCTCCTGCTGAAGAGGGGTACTATAGCAGAGGTCATACAGCACAGTCCCCTAGGCTACTTCCAGCCACATGAATTCAGGCGTGTGGGCCCCGCCAATAAGAATCAAGGTGGGGAGATGGTAAAGTGCAGAGAAGTCATGTCATCATCCTTGGGATGGGCAGCTCACTGGAGTTGGCACTTGAGCTGTGCAGGCAAGTCGAGAAGCTGTGCAGGCAATGTGAGAATGGTATAGCATGCCAGTCAGTCAGAAAAAGAGGAGGGTAGCATGTCTGAGTGCTTTTGTATCATGCCTAACTGTTCATTCCCTGAACAGTTAATAAATATAGGCAGATTTTCAATGTCCTACCTCTCTGCTCTGCACCACAGAACTCCTGGAAGCCTGCACTTTCCACAGAAGTTAAAACTCAAGAGGTGGGGCCACCATCCAGATGGAGATGGGAGCTTCACTGGCCCATGGGCTTTGTGCACCCCACCCCTGCTTTGTGCTGGGACCTCTCTCACTAGTCTGAGTGAAGTCTGTGCTAATTACATCCGCCTTCACAGTTCTCTGTTGCCACCTGTGCAGGACATGAAATAAAAATTATTATGGACTCTATATTTTTTTAAAACTTCAATCTTTCTTAAATGTTTCCCCTGGAAGGATTTATTTTATCCTATCTGACTAAATACCTATTCAACTGGGCCCTTCCTTCAGAGCTCACCTGATCTTCCCTACAGCCTTGGTTGTGGTGGCATAGCCACAACTCCTAGGTACAGTCCAATAGGAATGTTTTCTGAGAGGGGTCTGCATGGTCATTATAGTAGAGTCAAGTGTATAAGGCCGTGCGTGCGTGAGTGCGTGCGTGCGTGCGTGCGTGCGTGTGTGTGTGTAGTACTTATTGCTAGGGAAGGAGCAGGAAGGAGGACATATGCGGAGTGAATAAAAGAGATCAAGGGCTCAAGTGAGTACAGAAAAAGAATATAAAATATTTATATTAATTGAATTAAAAACAAATAGAATCATAAATGAGGAAAATAATTTGAGATATTAATATTTTTAAAGAATTACATCAGGCACAACAGAAGTATTGATTCTAAACCAGCTGGAAAGCATAAATCACTGAAATACCTTTTTGCTTAAAATCATAACTTGATCTCAACGACCACAGTAGTTACTGACCCATCTCCTACCCTTCTCAGCCAAGCTTCCTGAAAGGAGGTGCAGGCTCACTCTCTCCATGCCTTGTTTACTATTAACAGCTTAACGCATGAAAATCAGTCTTCTGCTCCATCCGCTCCCCTGAAGCTAACTTGGTGAAGGTCACCACTGACCTGCCAACTGCTAAATCCAATTTTAGTTTTTTTATGACGGAGCCTGTTTATTGCATGTCGTGCAGTTGACCCTTTGCTCTTCCTTGAAACTCTATTCCCTCAGCTTCTCTAACATAGCAGCTCAGCTTTTATTCCTACTGCTCTCTCTTCATTTTTTTGTCTCTGTTGTGGGCTTGTCCTATCAGCCCTGAAATCTTAGTGTTTCTGGAGTTCCTCTCTTGATCCAGTGCTCTTTTCACTTTCTATGTCCTCCTTAAATAATGATAATGACTCCTGGGCATCTATAGCTATAGTTCTGACACCAACTTTGAGTGTCCCTACACTCCTACCTCCTATTGCATAAGGATATATACTGTAGATTTATCACAACAATTAGAAATTCAGCAAATCAAAATCTGAAGAGATCATCTTGCCCCTTACCTCTCTTCCTTCCCTAACCCAACTGCTGCTGCCCTACATTTCACAGCAGCTAAAGACGTTGCCATCCACCCAGTCACTCAAGCCATAAATCAAGAAGCCAAATTTCACCTCATTGTTTTCTCTCACCGCCACAACCAGTAAGTCACCAAGTTCTGTTGATTTTGCCTTCTAGCTAGCTCCCCAGTTTGCACCTTTATTTTTCTTCCTACTACCACAGACTCAAGGAGCCCTGGTGGCGCAGTGTTTAAGCACTTGGCTGCTAACCAAAATGTTAGTGGTTTGAACCCACCAGCCACTCTGCGGGAGAAAGATGTGGCAATTGCATCTGTAAAGATTACAGCCTAGAAAACCCTGTGGGGCAGTTCTATTTCATTCTATTGGGTCTCTTTGAGTCTGAATCAACTCAATGGCAATGGGTCTGGGACAAGAGACTCAGTTTACAACTCAAGTGCAGACGACCTTCAGATGATGGGCTTCTGGACACAATATTCCACCTCTATCTGAACTTTATAATTTTCAAGGAAACAAGACCTTAATTCCACTTTGCAGTCTAGACCTGATCTTGACCTCTTTGCACACAGCCCTGCTTGCTTTGAGCCTATCAAAACTGCCTTATTTATTATTCACCTAAACTCCACACTTCCTACAAATCCTGTCAGCAGTTTGAATCTACCAGGCGCTCCTTGGAAACCCTTTGGGGCAGTTCTATGCTCTCCTGTAAGGTTGCTATGAGTGGGAATCTACTCGACGGCAGCGAGTCTTTTGGTTTTGGTGTATATACATATATATGTACACATACACACACATAGATACATATACATATTGTCTTAGGCTGGGTTCTCTAGAGAAGCAGAACCAGTAAAGCATATAAATAAATATATATAGAGAGATCTATATCAAGGAAATGGCTCATGCAGTTGGAGAGGCTGGAACATCTCAAGTCTGTGGGTCAGGACAGAGGCTTCCTCTGATTCACGTAGCCACAGGGGCTGGCGAACCCAAGGTTGGCAGATAAGACTGCAGGTAAGTTGCTAGCTCAAGTCCCAAGAGCCAGAGACCAGCTGCAGGATCCAGAGCGAGCAAAAGCCCACAAGCCTTGCCAGAATGTCCACTTACATTCGATGCAGGCCACATGCCCAAGGAAACTCCCTTTCAACTGATTGGCTACTCACAGCAGACCCCATCATGGAGGTGATCACATTATATCAAATCTCATCATGAAAGTGATCACAACATCATACGACTGCCAAACTACATCATAACTGCTAGACCACTGAGAATCATAGCCCAGTCAAGTTGACACACAACCTTAACCATCACAGTCCACCCCTTGTCAACTTGGCACCTGTACACATCTCCTTAAATCATACATAATCTCTGAATAAAGACAACTATAAAGTCATACTTGCACCTAACATGATGCAACGGACACACATACAACTGAAAATGCACTAGCCCTGTTCTCATCTTTTATTTTATAAGTGAAGAAAACAAAAATATTTGATGCACACATAGAAAGGAAAAATACTCATAACAATTACAGTCCTTGTTTCTGCAACTGGTCACATGATAGTAACCGGTATTTAGAACTACTTTCTTCCACTGCCCATTCTGTATTCTCTTTGCCCTCAGCAAGCACCTCAGCTGGTCGTGGTTCTTTGCCTGGCGGGATGACCCAAACCTTCATTCCTGAAGGGTCTGGGCCATTAGTAGTCATATCGGAATTGGGTTGCTGTAGTTTTCCATTGACTTAAATCACGGCATGGTAGTACTAAGAGACACTCTAAGGGACTGCCTGCATTCCAGACATAATCTTCTTTACCACCATTATGTAATTAATCTGATTTCCTCTTGGTAATCAGGATCAATCACACCAGGGGGTATGGTAACTCCCTTCTTTGTCTATTGATCCAGAGGCATAAGGATCCCAAAGTGGCCAGGTGGCATTCTTAGCTTCCAGTTCAATGGAATCAGTGATGTGTCTCCAGGTGGAAGCATTCCTCCATTTGGAACTAAGACCTCTAGACCTGCAGAGCACAAGGTAACAGGGACAGGAAGCTAAAATATTGTGAATGGGTCACTAGGGGTAATAGTGAGTGGTGCCACTCCCATTTCCACCCCTTGATTCCTGGACCCATGAATCCTGGCTTTGGGAGAAACTGCACAATATATTAGATGCTGGTTTAGAGCATATACAGCCTCCTGGAGAACATTGTCCCAACCCTGCAAGGTATTGCCACCTAGCTGGCACCATAATTGTGTCTTTAGAAGGCCATTCCATAGTTTTATGAAACCAGCTGCTTCAGGTAAGACCAGTGGATTCCGTGAGCATGGGCTCATTGTCACACTTCGTTTGCTGGGAAGTGAGTCCCTTGATCCTAGGTGATGCTGTGTGGGATACCATGATGGTGGATAAGGCATTCTGTAAGTCCACAAATGGTAGTTTTGGCAGAAGCATTGCATGCAGGGAAGGCAAATCCATATCCAGGGTAGATGTCTATTCCAGTAAGAACAAAATGCTGCCCTTTCCATGATGGAAGTGGTCCAATGTAATCAACTTGCCACCAGCTTGCTGGCTGATCACCTCAAGGGATAGTGCCATATCAAGGACACAGTGTTGGTCTCTGCTGCTGGCAATTTGGGCATTCAGCAGTGGCTGTAGCCAAGTCAGCCTTGGGGAGTGGAAGTCCATTTTGCTGAGCCCATGCATAACCTTCATTCCTGCCACCATGGCCACTGTTCATGACCCCACTGAGCAATGACAAGAGTAGCTGGGGGAAAAGGATGACTGATTTCCACAGAACACGTCATCCTATCCACTTGTTTGTTAAAATCATGGATTAGTAGTGCTCTTTTTACTACTGAAAGCAGTCATCATCTTTAAGACTAACCAGACTTGAGAACCAATTTAGAAAACTCATCCTTACAATTTTGTTTCTCTAGAACCATTCTTGATACCAAATGTCTTAGGCTGGGTTTTCTAGAGAAACAAACCCAGCAAAACATATAAACATATATATAGAGAGATCTATACCAAGGAAATGGCTCACCCCATTATATCAAATCTCATCATGGAAATGATCACAACATCATATGACTACTGAACTACATCATAACTGCCAAACCACTGTGAAACATGGCCCAGCCAAGTTGACACACAACTTTAACCATCACATATATGTATGTGTGTGTGTGTGTATATATATATATATATATATATATATATATATATATACATGCTGTTGTTGTTAGGTGGCGTTGAGTCGGTTCTGACTCATAGAGACCCTATAGGACCGAATAGAAATGCCCCATAGGGTTTCCAAGGAATGGATGGTGGGTTTGAACTGCTGACCTTTTGGTTAGCAGATGTAGTTCTTAGCTTTTAACCACTGTGCCACCAGGGCTCCTACTTATGAATAAATTGAAGCATTCCCACTGAAGTTAGGAATATAAGAACATTCAATACCACCAATCTTGCTATTTTAGAGGTCCTGGCCAATCCAATTACAAAAAAAAAAGAAATAAGATATAATATTTAAAGAGACAGCAAAATTACTGTTATTTGTAAGTGATAACATGGTATACCTTGAAAACACACGAGGAGCACATAAAAAATGTTGTTGTTGTTGTTGTTAGGTGCTGTTGGGTTGGTTCCAACTCATAGTAACCCTATGTACAACAGAATGAAACACTGCCCAGTCCTATGCCATCTTCACAATAGTTGTTATGCTGGAGCCCATTGTTGCAGCCACTCTGTCAATCCATCTTGTTGAGGGTCTTCCTCTTTTTCTCTGACCCTATACTTTACAAAGGAGGATGTCCTTCTCCAGAGACTGACCCCTCTTGATAACATGT